CCTTCACGGCTCAATGGGTCAATGTTACTACTAAAATCCTTTCCCTCCCTCACCCGTGAGCTGGACTCCAAACCCTGCATAAACACTGCAGTTTGTAAGCGAGTGGAACAGAAGAGAGCAAGGGAGAAATTTTACATTTGAGTAATTTAGCAGACGCTCTTATCCAGAGCGACTTAGTGAGTGCATACATTTTATCTCGCAAGAAGAATGGCAGGATCTCTCTCCCCCCACCTATCCTCCTCCCTCTCTCCCCCCACCTCCCCCTCCCCCCCCCACCTACCCTCTCTCCCCTCACCTACCCTCCTCCCTCTCTCCGTGCCTCCAGGAACACCTGGAAAACACGGATGTAGCCACCCCCCCCCGGCCCATTCGACTACCTTTTCAGAGGTGCTCGGCCCCACAGCCACAGGAATGTCAAACAAGGCTTTCAGGAGGGCTCCAGCTCCCCAGGCTCGCCTTTCACACGACAGGAAGTGGCATTCAGAGCTGCATCTACATGTCCCACTCACTCCTCCAGAAACACCTACGTCTGGGTGAATAAGTGAGTGGGTGTGTGTGAGTGAGAGAGAGAGAGAGAGAATTGGAGAAAGAGATAAAAAAAGTGGGAAAGGGGGATAAAAGGAGGGAAGTAGGGAGAGGAAAGAGAGAAACAAGGGATAGATAGAGAGAGAGAGAGAGCAATAAAGCCCTTTGAATTTAATTGAATTGAGAGAGAGGAGAGAGAGAGAGAGAGAAATAAAATGGGAGGGGGATAAAGAGGAGGGAGGTAGGGAGAGGGAAGAGGAGACAGAAACAGGGAGAGAGGGAGAGAGAGAGTGTGTGTACAGCAAGCTGTAGGCATATTAGTTAGCTATAGTTAGCTAATAGTCTAGAAAGGTTTGATTCATAAGATCTTCACACAGTGCAGAGTTCAATATCGCAATTTGAAAAATGCACAATCGAAACAACACACTGTGTAGTACAGAGTATAAGTCAGCTTTCAACTGTTTGGTCTACTTTTTATCCTTGAGCAAAGCCAATGCATCCATGTCTACGGAACATTCATGATTCACCAACTCCTCAGACACAACATTCTAAGGAACAAATGTACTATACCTTAAATTAAAATGTGCAAGAGCTCAGATATTTAGTCCCTGAGAGTCAAGGAAGGCATGTCAAAGACACTTGATGCACAAACTGGCAAAATACAGCAAATAAAGATTGCATCTTCACGTTTCAAAGCGTTCTACAAACTATTTCAAACCTATACTGAACAAAAACTTCAACGCAACATGCAACAATTTAAAATATTTTACTGAGTTACAGTTCATATAAGGAAATCAGCCAATTTAAATAAATTCATTAGGCCCTAATCTATGGATTTCACATAACTGGGAATACAGATATGCATTTGTTGGTCACAGATACCTTAAAAGAAAAGGTAGGGGCATGGATTAGAAAACCAGTCAGTATCGGGCGTGACCACCATTTGCCTCATGCAGTGCGACACATCTTCTTCGCATAGAGTTGATCAGGCTGTTGATTGTGGCCTGTGGAATGTTGTCCCACTCCTCTTCAATGGCTTTGCGAAGTTGCTGGATATTGGCGGGAACTGGAACAAGCTGTCGTACACATCGATCCAGAGCATCCCAAACATGCTCAATGGGTGACATGTCTTAAAATCTCCTAATCTAGTTTTAAGAATCAAGGCTGCTAGCTACAATTATGCTAATCCTCTCATGTCTGCCCCTAACAACAGCAGGTATTGTGGGGAGGGGGAACAATGGGTTGTGGCATTCACTCTCTGTCTAGGACTCACTGATTACTTGAATTGAGGGTGGGTCAGGTTGCTTTAGTGCTGAGAGTGTGGACTGATCATCTATTATGGTAAAATAAATAAAGTTTACTAAATTGAGTTGTCTCAAAGTCAATAATATAGGCCAAAGGAAGTATTCAAATGCTTTTTCGGCATTAGGATATAATGCGAATAGCAACTGCTAACAAATATAAGTTTACACTATGCGTACTGCTACTAGTAGTAGGGTACATAAATGAAATCCGGTTGCAGAGATCAGACATAATGCCCTTGCAATTAGAAGCGCAGAAAACAATTAGGTTTTGGCATATGGAGAGATTCCGCGCACGCACGCCCTCATCTCGAGGTAGCCTATGTAGTCCTGACACGTCTGAGAAGGGACACTCATAGCTGGCGCAAGCAGTCCGACCAAGTTCAAGAAACCTAGAAAATGTTCACGGTCCTCTCTTCAACTTGAATTGGAACATTATTTGATTACATATTACACGCGCAATGACTGTTCCATGCAGTTTGATAAGAATTATGAGTTTGGTGTACCACACGGAATCTAGGTGTTCACCGACTTTTTATTATAAATACTGCTGAATTCGTTGATTCCCAGGTATTTTCATCGAGTGAAGAATCAAAGAGAAGAGGCGCACAGCTTCTGAAGTATTACCAAGAAGAGGCAGCCGAAACTGTTGCCTTACGAGAAATTGTAAGTGTACTGTATTTGTTCAGTTCTTTATCGGAATTTGAATATTGATTATACACTGCTCATAAAAATAAAGGGAACACTTAAACAACACAATGTAACTCCAAGTCAATCACACTTCTGTGAAATCAAACTGTCCCCTTAGGAAGCAACACTGATTGACAATACATTTCACATGCTGTTGTGCAAATGGAATAGACAACAGGTGGAAATTATAGGAAATTAGCAAGACACCCTCAATAAAGGACTGGTTTTGCAGGTGGTGACCACAGACCACTTCTCAGTTCCTATGCTTCCTGGCTGATGTTTTGGTCACTTTTGAATGCTGGCGGTGCTTTCACTCTAGTGGTAGCATGAGACGGAGTATACAACCCACACAAGTGGCTCAGGTAGTGCAGCTCATCCAGGATGGCACATCAATGCGAGCTGTGGCAAGAAGGTTTGCTGTGTCTGTCAGCGTAGTGTCCAGAGCATGGAGGCGCTACCAGGAGACATGCCAGTACATCAGGAGACGTGGAGGAGGCCGTAGGAGGGCAACAGCCCAGCAGCAGGACTGCTACCTCCGCCTTTGTGCAAGGAGGAGCAGGAGGAGCACTGCCAGAGGCCCTGCAAAATGACCTCCAGCAGGCCACAAATGTGCATGTGTCTGCTCAAACGGTCAGAAACAGACTCCATGAGGGTGGTATGAGGGCCCGACGTCCACAGGTGGGGGTTGTGCTTACAGCCCAACACCATGCAGGACGTTTGGCATTTGCCAGAGAACACCAAGATTGGCAAATTTGCCACTGGCGCCCTGTGCTCTTCACAGATGAAAGCAGGTTCACACTGAGCACGTGACAGACGTGACAGAGTCTGGAGACGCCGTGGAGAACGTTCTGCTGTCTGCAACATCTTCCAGCATGACCGGTTTGGCGGTGGGTCAGTCATGGTGTGGGGTGGCATTTCTTTGGGGGGCCGCACAGCCCTCCATGTGCTCGCCAGAGGTAGCCTGACTGCCATTAGGTACCGAGATGAGATCCTCAGACCCCTTGTGAGACCATATGCTGGTACGGTTGGCCCTGGGTTCCTCCTAATGCAAGACAATGCTAGACCTCATGTGGCTGGAGTGTGTCAGCAGTTCCTGCAAGAGGAAGGCATTGATGCTATGGACTTGCCCGCCCGTTCCCCAGACCTAAATCCAATTGAGCACATCTGGGACATCATGTCTCGCTCCATCCACCAACGCCACGTTGCACCACAGACTGTCCAGGAGTTGGCGGATGTTTTAGTCCAGGTCTGGGAGGAGATCCCTCAGGAGACCATCCGCCACCTCATCAGGAGCATGCCCAGGCATTGTAGAGAGGTCATACAGGCACGTGGAGGCTACACACACTACTGAGCCTCATTTTGACTTGTTTTAAGGACATTACATTGTTGGATCAGCCTGTAGTGTGGTTTTCCACTTTAATTTTGAGGGTGACTCCAAATCCAGACCTCCATGGGTTGATACATTTGATTTCCATTGATAATTTTTGTGTGATTTTGTTGTCAGCACATTCAACTATGTAAGGAAAAAAGTATTTAATAAGATTATTTCATTCATTCAGATGTAGGATGTGTTATTTTAGTGTTCCCTTTATTTTTTTGAGCAGTGTATGTGCAGCGATATGGAATCCAATGTCAAATGATTGATTACATTTCAATTTTAATTATTATCAAACGTATAATTCATGATCTATTGGAGGCCATTTTCTACAATACTTTTATTTGCATCTGCCAAGTGGACAGGTGTATCATGTCATATCTAACTGCGCAATGCAAATGTTTATTAATGAGTTGCTGGATGCGTTGATGGATAATATGCTTTTATGTAACTCCTTAGTTACTTGTAACCTGGCGATATTCCACTATGACACCATCCAAGAGAATGTGAACTGTTTTCATCTGCACTGTCCAACACTGGAGAGCTGCATCCTCAGCCACAGAGACCTTATACTGTACAACATCACCAAAGGTGAGCCTCCATTTGAAACAATTTAGACCCTGGAACTAAGTTGTAGGCTACTTTAGTGGTGTTTGTTTCTATAATAAAACAAGCCAAACAGCTGTTTATTTCTGCTAATTAGTAAAATAAAATAAAAAGTTTAACCATTAACTTATTGAAAACCATTTATAAACTCTGTTATAGCTTACATTGAGTGATTGAGATGGTAGCCTATAGGCTTCAGTGAGATGATCCATCACCTGCTACACTCTGACAGTGTTTGACTGTGAGGTTGGTTTTCTTGTCTCATACAGGTGTGGATCCAGACCTGTTGGTGTTTGGGTAGTACTCTACTTCCAAAGTGCGGGTGTTACCCCACCTCTACACCAGAGTCAATGCCTCAGAGCCCCTGGCCTCAGACAAGCGCCGGTTAATCTGACCACCCCTCCCCCTCCCCTGCCTCTAACAGTAGCCCCTAATGTCAGGACAACCAGCACCACCATCGCACCCCAGAGCTCTACTCTGGGCACGATTCATTCCCCCATCACATCCACCCCCTCCTCCACCATAATGCCCACCCTGGGGACCCATGCCCCCACCACCACCACTCCCCCGGCCTCCACCACAGCTGCCCCCTACACCGCCCAGACCACCCCTGCCTATCCATCAACCCACAGGGAACCCACCACTACCCTACAGCCCCCCACCCCCACCCCTACCCAGCAACCCACAGCCGGGGGTGCCACTACCACCAGCTCCCACCCTGGCCCCTGCAGCCAACATGAACGGCAGTAACAAGCAGGACCCAATAACACCAAGGGCTACGTGGGCAGGAACCACACAGCGGCTGTGGGGGGAGAAGGCGGCCAGGGTAGCCAGGGTGAGTCCCCCTCCCGGGGTGGTTTGGGCCCAGGGTGGCACGTGGTGGCTCACACCATGCTGGTTGCTGCAGTGACGGTCGTCACGGTGCTGCTGCTGGTGAGCTGGAAGGGGTCGGAGGAAGAGGAAGGGGCGGTACAGGACCACCTGGAGGGGGAAGGGGGGGTCCATCACCCTCATTAAGTATGTAATCATCAGGGAGAGCTTGTGAGGTAACTGTGGGGGTCAACAACCGGGACCAACAAAGCTTGTAATGTAGTGTAATGCTTATTCCACTAGAGAACTGTTTACATCAGAAACAATAATTCAGCAAGAGGCGACGGCGACCACTTAGTGGTGTAGATAGTTTTGCAACTTTTGCAAGCACATGCTAAAGCTGTAAGACCAAAGTTGCTGTGAGGATTGTGGTTACCGTTGTTTGGTAATAGCTTGAGACTTGGAGTAACTTCTGATGCATTTTGAGGTCACTTGCATTTTGATGCGGTCGAATGAAATCAAACAGATTGATGCCAAACTCTATACACTGTGTCCAGTGTCTGCTCTGCTCTTAAGTGCATTGATGGGGGCTTCCAAGCACAAATGCTGCTACAAGCCCCGTTTTGTTCTGAGGCAGTAAGTTACTAAATGGACTGTGGTGTATGGGAATATTTTAGGCTTAGACCCATCTTGCCACCACTCCTCCAGAATATCTCTCCTGCGCATCGGGTTTCACCTGACCCAGAACCACATGGACCAGAGCAGAAACTCTTTTGAAGGGTTATTATTTTTTTAAAGATGATCGGCCCATTGCTGAATGCGTCCTTTCAGTATGGTGCTTCTCTTTGTCTCCCTGGGCCAGAAGGGAGAAGGGGATGGGGTTGAAGCCAGGAAGAAGGTGGGGGGGGTTTGGTAATACAGTAAACATCTGTCCAATGATGTAAAAAGCACTTGTTTAAATAACATTAAGAACTTAGCCCAAATTTCAGAACTTGAGAAAAAGAAAAGCTTTATATTTACAATGCAAGGAATACATTTTTGCTTCAAGCTCTGTTTTACATTGGATAATAGCATAACATGTATTGGACAATTGTATTACAGAAATATAACCGAGGTCTATTTATTTTTTGTCAATAAATATTTCACAAAAGACAGTAACAGACATAACATTCTGTGTGTGGTGAAATCAGATAGGTTTGTCTCTTAACGTTGCATTGGTCAACATCAGGGTGTATATAGATGGCCCCGTGTAGCTCAGTTGGTAGAGCATGGCGCTTGCAATGCCAGGGTTGTGGGTTCGTTTCCCAAGGGGGGCCAGTATGAAAAATGTATGCACTCACTAACTGTAAGTCGCTCTGGATAAGAGCGTCTGCTAAAATGACTAAAATGTAAAAATGTGTAGAAGTTGAATTCTGGTCTTTGTACTACACTACCTTGATGACTACACTGTCCCGCGATTGGACCTGAAGTGATAACGCTGCAAAACTGTTCAAGTGGTGAGGAAGTGGCTATGCTTAAAAGACACATCACAGGTGACGTTGTCTTCCTGAGCCAAAGAGGGGGGTTTAGGTGTCCCCGAATATTGAGTGGATTTACACTGCTACCTGACTGACTCACCTGTTGAACATGCTCAACAATGACAATGTAACAGTTAAGGAGTTAGCCAGAGCCTCCCTCCCTCCCTCTGGACCTACGGAGGAGGAAGGTTCCACTGCCAGGGACACAGGAAAACTTCCTGGGCTTCAGGAGGAAGGAAAATGGAAAATTGGACACTCGTGATGTGGGCTTTGGAGTCTGGTCAGACTGGCCGGACCTCAACGACCTGTGCAACTGGACTGATATGCAAACTGAGCCAGTGACGGTCTCTGATGCAGTTGTGGTAGATCGCGGTGTTGTTGTGGGGGCTTCTGTCACCCATGATGGAACATCTCATCCTACATCCAGGACAACACTCCTTGGTATCAGATGGATGCAGCTACTGCAACACTGGACTGGCCTGACGCTGCAGGGGAAACTCGCTGCTCTGGACTGTGCCGGCCAATGTCTCCCATTCCATGTACCAGAATGCTGCCGTTGGCGAGGACATTCTCACCTATACTGTTAAGGCAAGGCTGCAAGTTCTACAACAAAATATAAATCTAGCACTCTGGTACCCTGCAAACCATGACCCATTTTGCATTTTACATGAGTCAAATGTAATGGAGTCCATTGTCCATGTTGTGAATGGCTGCTGTTCATACAAGGATTTGTACATTGCTAGACATGACCGCCTTGTTGACCTGATAGCCAGCGAGGTGAGAAAGTCTCACCAACAGCACACATGAATAAACATTGTTGTGTAAGGGGAAGCTGGTTTGATGTTGTGTTTTCCTGTGTGCAAAATACTCCAAATATTGTTGTTGTGGGGGGAGGCGCTCATTTGGGAAGTGGGCTGCTCATTTGACGGCTACATGGAGCCCCATGGCACACTTGGACAGCCTCGGGTGTAGGTACAAGCTGGTAGCGCTGATATCTCGGCCATGTACACAGGCTTGCAGTGCGGGCCTGACAAGAACTAGGGCAAAGCAATTGGCTAGGTACTGCTCTGTTTCAGCTGTCGTGGGCAGCCTAGCTGTTTGGAGGAGGTGCTTTCTGTACCCTTGAGTGCCATGCATACAGGGACCCTTGAAATGTTTGGATCCTTTTTTTGTACATTTGATTGGTGGATTCAAATAAAGTATTTAATGTGTGTGTATCTGTATGTATAGTGTGTGTGTGTGTATTTGTATGTATATTAGAGGTTCAGTAGTTTCTTCACAGCTTCTCTGTACTGGAGTACGCTGCCCTCGCTCTCTCCCTCGTTCTTCAGTGTGGTCACAGAGTCCCTGTACTCCTGTACCTCTGGTCTCCCCAGCAGTTCCTCCCTCACCGCCTCTCCCGCTGCCCACACGAGGTCCAATGTGGACAGGGCGTTCTTCTGAGAGGGGCTGTTCTCCCAGCTGTACTCCTCCATGTCTGCCACAGTCTTCTCAGACTCCCAGGCCTCCACTTTCTAGACAGAATAAGTGGAATAGCACAACATTGTTCGCTACATAAGTTCAGACAAAATGCTAACCAGGATTAATCAGTTTGACTCAATATATGACAGATGAGAGGTATGTGACACATTAAGATAAGGCGTCCCACAGGGGTCTGTGATTGCCCCTCTTGGGATTGTGGGTTTGGGGACAGAGCAGTGTGGAACCTCGAGTGCCCTAGTTACCCTTCTGTGATGCTCTGCTCTCCTGTCCTCTCAAAGAGATAGGGTTTCTCCATACGTGGTGCGGAGTTCCTCCACCACAGCCTGTCTCCCTCCGATCACATTCCCCAGAGGACAATAGGCCCATTGTGTGGGAGCTTAAAGCAGGGGACGACACAGCCATAGCAGCTCCCCTGCAGCCCTGGTTCTTGGGGTTAATGACCCTCATTACATCTATATGGTCCCTAATATCCAGGCTGGCTGAGGGCCAACCCCTCCAGCGGACAGGGTGGTACGATGGGGATGGCTGGAGAAGAGATTCTCTCCTTTCCTCTTTAGCCTGACTGTCAGGATTATTACACTATCTTCACAGGGTCAACTAGTGTTGCAGTCCCTTTCAATCACATTGATTCAGTTAGTTTGCTTTAGAATCTAAGCCATTTGATTCAACATACAGTAGTTCACGTTTTAATCAAACCGAGTTAAAACAGGTAGCTGACCATTGGTCCCAGACTCCATATCTCCCATTGCTTTCGTCTCCACAGGGTGTAGCCCAGTGAATGAGAAGTGGGCGACGATAGGGCGGCAGGTAGCCTAGCGGTTAGAGCGTTGGGCCAGTAAGGTTGCTGGTTCGAATACCCAAGCCGACAAGGTGAAAAATCTGTCAATGTGCCCTTGAGCAAGGCACTTAACCCTAATTTGCTCCAGGGGTGCAGTACTACTATGGCTAACCCTGTAAAAACAACACATTACACTGCACCTATCCGGTGTATGTGACAATAAAACATATTTTACAGACAGTGATGATGTTGACAGACCAACAAGCACCTGTTTTACAGGAGGACATTTGTGGGTTTTATTACTGGAGTGGAGCACAGAGTACTGGGGCACTCAAATAAGAGATGGACAGATTAAATAGTCACTTGTGGATTGGAGTGCCTCTAGTGCCCAGCGGGGGAGATGGTACGGTACAGTACACTCCCTGCTGTGCTGTGGTGGAGGACTGTGGTCCGTCACGGTGGAGCACCGGCCTGGATCAACAGCCCACAGTGGAATTAGCAACAGGCCCAGAGAGTCGAGAGTCCATCTCACTGAGTGAAGTGATAGAATCGCCTAAGCGGCGGCTAACAAGCGACCTCTTTGTGGGCTAGTGTTACTACCGGAGCACGGCTTCCCCCTCACAGCTTCCACCAACCTGCAGGCTGCACAGTGCCTTCCATTGTGTATGCAAAGGGCAGCGGACAGTGTTCCGCTTCCCGGCTCGTACTCCAATCCCCAGAGACACAAAAAGCCAAGGCTTTTTACCAGCTAAACCCTGCTGCCTTGGCGAGAGAACTCCCAAAGGCACAACAGGGAGAGCCATTAAGTCCCTTGTGGCTGTACTCTCATGTGAAAGCAGCCTGTGCTGGTAACCCTGATGGTGGATTTCTCAGGTGTTGGTTGGAGTTGGCGTGCTGTGAATAAGTGGCAGGGTCAGCATCTGATACTGGAGTCTATTTTCTCCTGTTTAGAGGGGAAATGACAGTGGGACAATGCTGCTGTATACCATCCCTCTACCTATTCTCCTCATGCATCATAGCTCCCTTATGGGCTTACTCTTTCACACCAAGGGGAGACGGGATGCAAGCTAGATCAGCATGGGGGGGGGGGGGGGGGGGGGGGACTTGAATAGTGAATCCCTGTAATATGCATGACTTCCATGAAAGGCAACATAAAAGCCTGTAATGCTCTTTCTATTTACAAAGCCGTAATGTATATCCAAGCCGTTTACCTCTAGGGACGGTTTAAGGTATCATGCATCTCTTTCCTAGTCCATCAGGGGTCTCTGATGCTCTGCACAGTGATGGCCTTGGCTGCCTGACCATCCGTCTACTCACTGTCTACCTATTAGCAGTTGGGCTGGCTAGGTTGTGAGGTTAGGTGGAGGATCATGTCTACTCAAGCGCTTTGGTATTGACCAGGGTCGCCTTTAGGAGGACGCAACATACTGAACGGAGTAGATAGACATGTCATGAATAGAGATGGGAATATATTGTATATCTGACCTTTCCATATTCTGCCCTGCTGAATGTGTCTCTGGACTTGACTAGTCAGAGTAGTGGAATAAGACACTTACCCACGACTCGTGATAGAGGACAGTCAGGAGGTACATGGCGTAGTCATAATTCTGCTGTCTCACAGGGCAGCTGAAGGAGCAATGGGGAGAAAAGAAAGAAAAACATTTATCAGGAAATACAGGGTTAGTTGAAATAAAACCTCTCCATTTAAAATACATTACTGTAAAGCAATGACAATAGTGAAGGACCAACACCTTATTTAGCCTCTTTTAGTCAAGAGGAATTAGAAGTAATTGGTAATAGCACATTGAACAACAGGTGGTGCTGCTTACCTGTCAGTGGTGATGGTGAGTGTGTCCGTCTCTTTGCAGTACCTCTCTCCTACCAGTTTAACCATCTTCTTCCTGGCATGGTCGTCCAAGTTCAGACTGGAGAGCTTCACCTGAGTGGACAAAGACACAGAAATCTGACATTATAATACTGAAACTTATTGGCTTTGGCTAAATTGATTCAAATAAAACCATTAATGCCCTCAACACATCAAAAACAATAGATGCAGTCATCCCTGCTAATGTTGAAACTCTGCAGCAGTAAGTCAGTTAATCTTTAAACTCAGTCTACTGAATGGAATTGAAATAATGGAAAATGACCAGCAGATATGGTTCATGCTGCAGAAAACATTCTTCCCCCTTACAGCTTTGTGACAGCTGAAGTTCTTGGAAGAGAAGACGTGAATTACGAGATGCGAAGAGGCTTTTCAGGAGAAGGATTATAGAATAGCATCTTTGCGAGTAGGCTATCCTCTCGCATTGTTCCAGCACAATGTCAACCAAAACAAAACCTTAAAAAAGGTCACACTTCTCAGTATTGAGACTAAGACCCTGACCCCATTGGTCAAATCCCCATACTTTCATCAGATGAGTCACATACTAATTTAAAGTGAGGCCATGCTACTGAGTGATCAGTAAACACTGTGCAGATCGGGTGGAAAACAAAAGATTACTGCATGTCTAATGGACATCGCGCTGCTTGCTTAGCGAGTACCAGTTCCTTCTGATTTGGCTCATACGAAGGCTCAAACACAGGCCTTGCAAACACACGTAACCACCCTCCTGAAGCGTCTTACAATCAATCTAATTTATTTTATAAAGCCCTTTTAACGTCAGCAGTTGTCAAAGTTTAATACAGATACCCAGCCTAAAAACCCAAAGCAATGCAGACGCAGAAGCACAGTGGCTAGGAAAAACTCCCTAGAAAGGCAGGAACCTAGGAAGAAACGTAGAGAACATTCACGCCTCGGAGAAGCTAGCTATTCGGCAGTGGGAACACTTCAGGCTTAGGAATGGGTTTCACACGTGCTACATATGTATGTACCTCACATGGGAGAGTTTATACACAAGGCTCGGCGTATCACATAAGTACAGCGCATTCCGAAAGTATTCAGACCCCTTGACTTTTTCCACATTTTGTTATGTTTCCCCCCCCCCCTCAATCTACACAAAATACCCCATAATGAAAAGCAAAAACATGTTTTACTCAGTACTTTGTTGAAGCACCTTTGGCAGCGATTACAGCCTCTAGTCTTTTTGAGTATGACGCTACAAGCTTGGCACAATTGTATTTGGCGAGTTTCTCCCATTCTTCTCTGCAGATCCTCAAGCTCTGTAAGGTTGGATGGGGAGCGTCGCTGCACAGCTATTTTCAGGTCTCTCCAGAGATGTTTGATCAGGTTCAAGTCCGGGCTCTGGCTGGGCCACTCAAAAACATTTATAGACTTGTCCCGAAGCCACTCCTGCATTGTCTTGGCTGTGTGCTTAGGGTCGTTGTCCTGTTGGAAGGTGAACCTTCACCCCAGTCTGAGGTCCTGAGCGCTCTGGAGCAGGTTTTCATCAAGGATCTCTCTGTACTTTGCTCCATTCATCTTTACCTCGATCCTTACTAGTCTCCCAGTCCCTGCCGCTGAAAAACATCCCCACAGCATTTATGCTGCCACCACCATGCTTCACCATAGGGATGGTGCCAGGTTTCCTCCAGACGTGACGCTTGGCATTCAGGCCAAAGAGTTCAATCTTGATTTCATCAGACCAGAGAATCTTGTTTCTCATGGTCTGAGTCCTTCAGGTGCCTTTTGGCAAACTCCAAGCGGGCTGTCATGTGCCTTTTACTGAGGAGTGGCTTCTGTCTGGCCACTCTACCATAAAAGCCTGACTGGTGGAGTGCTGCAGAGATGGTTGTCCTTTGGAAGGTTCTCCCATCTCCACAGAGGAACACTGGAGCTCTGTCAGAGTGACCATCGGGTTCTTGGTCAACTCCCTGACCAAGGCCCTTCTCCCCCGAATGCTCAGTTTGGCCGGACGGCCAGCTCTAGTAAGAGTCTTGGTGGTTCCAAACTTCTTCCATTTAAGAATGATGGAGGCCACTGACATTTTACATTTACATTTTAGTCATTTAGCAGACGCTCTTATCCAGAGCGACTTACAGGAGCAATTAGGGTTAAGTGCCTTGCTCAAGGGCACATTAACGTCATTTAGCAGACGCTCTTAGCCAGAGCGACTCACAAATTGGTGCGTTCACCCTATAGCCAGTGGGATAACCACTTTACAATTGGGGGGGGTAGAAGGATTCCTTTATCCTATCCCAGGTATTCCTTAAAGAGGTGGGGTTTCAAATGTCTCCGGAAGGTGGTGAGTGACTCCGCTGTCCTGGCGTCGTGAGGGAGCTTGTTCCACCATTGGGGTGCCAGAGCAGCGAACAGTTTTGACTGGGCTGAGCGGGAACTATGCTTCCGCAGAGGAAGGGGAGCCAGCAGGCCAGAGGTGGATGAGCGCAATGCCCTCGTTTGGGTGTAGGGACTGATCAGAGCCTGAAGGTACAGAGGTGCCGTTCCCCTCACTGCTCCATAGGCAAGCACCATGGTCTTGTAGCGGATGCGAGCTTCAACTGGAAGCCAGTGGAGTGTGCGGAGGAGGGGGGTGACGTGAGAGAACTTGGGAAGGTTGAACACCAGACGGGCTGCGGCATTCTGGATGAGTTGTAGGGGTTTAATGGCACAGGCAGGGAGGCCAGCCAACAGCGAGTTGCAGTAGTCCAGACGGGAGATGACAAGTGCCTGGATTAGGACCTGTGCCGCTTCCTGTGTAAGGCAGGGTCGTACTCTCCGAATGTTGTAGAGCATGAACCTGCAGGAGCGGGTCACCGCCTTGATGTTGGCGGAGAACGACAGGGTGTTGTCCAGGGTCACGCCTAGGCTCTTCGCACTCTGGGAGGAGGACACAGCGGAGTTGTCAACCGTGATGGCGAGATCATGGAACGGGCAGTCCTTCCCCGGGAGGAAGAGCAGCTCCGTCTTGCCAGGGTTCAGCTTGAGGTGGTGATCCGTCATCCATACTGATATGTCTGCCAGACATGCAGAGATGCGATTCGCCACCTGGTTATCAGAAGGGGGAAAGGAGAAGATTAGTTGTGTATCGTCAGCGTAGCAATGATAGGAGAGACCATGTGAGGATATGACAGAGCCAAGTGACTTGGTGTATAGGGAGAAAAGGAGAGGGCCTAGAACTGAGCCTTGGGGGACACCAGTGGTGAGAGCACGTGGTGCGGAGACAGCTTCTCGCCACGCCACTTGGTAGGAGCGACCGGTCAGGTAGGACGCAATCCAGGAGTGAGCCGCGCCGGAGATGCCCAGCTCGGAGAGGGTGGAGAGGAGGATCTGATGGTTCACAGTATCAAAGGCAGCAGACAGGTCTAGAAGGACAAGAGCAGAGGAGAGAGAGTTAGCTTTAGCAGTGCGGAGAGTCTCCGTGACACAGAGAAGAGCAGTCTCAGTTGAATGACCAGTCCTGAAACCTGATTGGTTTGGATCAAGAAGGTCATTCTGAGAGAGATAGCAAGAGAGTTGGCTAAAGACGGCACGCTCAATAGTTTTGGAAAGAAAAGAAAGAAGGGATACTGGTCTGTAGTTGTTGACATCAGTGGGGTCGAGTGTTGGTTTTTTGAGAAGGGGAGCAACTCTCGCTCTCTTGAAGACGGAAGGGACATGGCCAGCGGTCAAGGATGAGTTGACATGCACTGTCAACTGTGTGACCTTATATAGGACAGGTGTGTGCCTTTCCAAATCATGTCCAATCAATTGAATTTACCACAGGTGGACTCCAATCAAGTTGTAGAAACATCTCAATGATGATCAATGGAAACAGGATGAACCGGAGCTCAATTTCGAGTCTCATAGCAAAGGGTCTGAGTACTTATTAAAAATAAAAAACAGAAACCTTATTTACATAAATGTGCAAAAAAAATTACACTTTTTTTTTCGCTTTGTCATTATGGGGTATTGTGTGTAGATTGATGAGGATATTTATTTATTTAATCAATTTTAGAATAAGGCTGTAACTTAAAATGTGGAAAAAGGGAAGGGGTCTGAAAACTTTCCGAATGCACTGTACATAGTTGGATAGCAATTACGAGGGATGCAGGAGTATTATCTTTTCATTCAGATTATATCATAAAGCTGGGAGTGTTTTTTGTTATTCCCATGACAGCCAGGCTGTTGTGTGGCGAGCCTGAGAACAGTGGGCTGAAATTGTATCAGTCTGTTTCATCTGTATCCTGGACCCTGCTTATCCTGCAATCTATCTTTGATTCTCAGACTAATCCAGGGGGATTAATGGCTAAATAATTCCTGTGTCGAGGTCGTAATCTAAGGGGAACGTGTCAGTGGAGCAGATGGCTGGTGATTAATCACAAAATTCTTCTAGAGGTTTTTCATTTTTGTTGTTGAAAACTGTCAATTGTTTTTAGGTTCCATGCCTATTGCCGTTCTCTATTTGTGACAAGTATGTTCATATGATGGAATATTGCAATCATACAGCGCTATGAAAAAGGTATGCATTGTAGAAGTATCTTAGAGCAGTGTTTCATAGGCTTAAAAGGAAAGATTCACCCATTTTGAATGTTATTTTTTTTGCATCTCTGAGTAATATCCTATCGATTCCCTGGGTCATTTCATGTTTATCTGAGTTATTGGCGTTCCAGCAGGCAAATCTTCGGTCGGTATGACGTAGCATTGCGATAAAGCCGCTCTCACTACACTGGAAGTTAATAGGAATATGACTTTTAGATTGCGTTTATCATACATGTCAGATTTCACTACTGGCTGATGTCAACTCGCGAGGTTGTCTTCTCTCGAATGAGCCATTGATCATATTTTTGCGGTATATTCCTACCTCGAGAAATGTGTAATTTAACAGAGAATCTAGCACATTTCTCGTATTTGTCTGCCTCTTCAGTCCAGGGTGCATTGCATGGTGCCGTTGCAAATGTCAGACCCCACTCTGAGGCACATCAATCTGCAGGTTGAACATGGTGAGACTGTAAACTCCTAAATTGATAGTGCAGTTTGTTTAAGTGATTTTACAGCTAACTGGCTACTTCACATGCTGATATTGTCTTTGTTATTATTGTATGTAGCTACGTTTGCTAGCTAGCAAGCCCATAGAGCATTGCATTGTGGATTTTGTAGTCGATGTGAGCTGCAACAGATTTCCACAACGGTTTTCACGTTGCTACCAACCTTATTATAAAACGCCAAAATGAAACATTTGTTCACAAAAAATATTGTTCTCACAGTGTTATTTAACACTGTACATTATAGGAATGAGTGGTTTTGGGTGGATTTTTCCTTTAAGAGCATAGATCCGGACAATGGAGACATTTCCTGAAAGGTCAACCAAACATGAGATGAGAGCTGTTAAGAGAATCTCAAGATCCCTTCTACACAAAAGAGGATAACTCTGCACTTTATATGGATTTGGTTGAGAAGGGTCAAATACAGGTCAAAGAGTCAAATTGAACTCTTTGCTAGTATTTTAAAAATGTAACCTAAACCCCCTGAAGACAGACACTCACTCTGAGGTGGACTATGCGGGCAGATGGGTTTCTGAGGGAGGTGCCGGCAGACACGTAGTCCTTGCTCTTTACTTTGACAGGGAAGTGTTCATCACATTTAGCATCTGTGTCCAGGGCAGAGGGCCACTCTGTGCAGAACACTTATCACTTAATTGTGTCGTCCCGACACAATTAAGTGATAATGCCAGAGAAGCCAGTGTTTGGAGGATATATTGACACAGGTGTTGTTATGCCCGAGACGAAGTCTAGGGCCGGAAAACCGTGCCAATATATCCTCCAAACACCAGCTTAGAGGGCATTATCACAATATATTCAAATAATGATTAACATATTTTCATTAAAAACATTTTGCTGAATTTATTCCACAAGATATAGTCCCGACACAAATCTAGGGTTGCTATCCAAGCCGGCTGGTCGTTCGTTCTATTGGTTCGGTTGCCAGTCTTTCCTTGCTTGCTAGCCAGCCAACTTCGGCTAACACAGTCAAACAGTGCAGCCAGAATAACAAAGCAAAGTAGCTGCATTTGTGTTTGTTTAAGCTGTTTTCTAGTGATTTTTTTTGTATACATCCATAACAATGGATGATGCGTGATTTTGCCTGCCAGGACACTGTTCAGAGGAGCTAGCCAACTACACAGCTAACACAATCACTTCAAACTGAAGCTGGAATGACAGCACACTAGCTGCATTTCGTGTTTTAAAAATGATGCCGATTCATGATTTCGACTGGCTGAGAAAAGTTGCCTGTCTGTCTCGTCCCGACACATTCATAACTATGAGACAGCTGGAGATTGAATTTCAATATTGAATTTTTTTTGCAAATGTCGGAGAGAGGCAGCAAGATTAATACAGATCTCTGCTGTTGAAAACCAAACACTAGTCTAAAAGAAATGGGAGATAATGTCTAGATGCTTTTTACAGTGGAGATTTAAGTTTATAAATGGCCTGGCTGGGCTGATGAGACAGTGGATTGTGCAGTAAAATGGAATAGTGAATAGGCATTTCAACGTCTTAGCCGGTGGTAACTTGTGGAATAGACACCGGCTGGAACACGGTTTTAACCAATCAGCATCCAGGATTAGACCCACCAGTTGTATATTTATTGATGAAATACTATCACTACAGTAACAGTGTTTCTCAATAAGCAATTTTATGACTTACGCTTCAGAGTGTTTCTTTATGGCTGCTGGAGTTAAATGCAAAAAGTTTGGAATCTGAAACAGACAAGAGTTTTCATAAATGCCTGTATGATCTGACAGCACAATACAATATGTAGCCTTAATGGTACAAATTATTTATATCCCAATGCCAGATAGCCTGTCACATAATCAAAAGCTCTGACATGTCAGGTTGGAGGTGAGGAACTGACCTTGACGAGCTCCAGGTTGCCCTTCTTCTCCGGAGGCACCCCTCTTTTCACTGGGAAGCCTATGCGGACGGGCAGGGGCACAGAGCCCTGTCTGAAGGGGGCAGCGGTCGGGTACACTGCAGTCCAGTCCTGGTCTACAGCCATCCTGTCTGTCCTGGGGTCACCCGCCTGACACACACCATGGAGACAGGGAACAGAGAGAAAGGAGACTAATTAGACTTCAAAATATAGCTTTACTTCTGTCAATATACATCTTGGAATAAACTTGATAAATTCCTCACAATTTGTTTTATTGGTAAAGAATCTGGGCTGATCACATGCCCCTCTACCCAGGGACCATAATGTGCTGTAACCAGAAAGAGTAATGTTGGCCTACTTATGTGGTTGTTGGGTTGTGTAGTCTAAATTTGTTCTGTCTTTGTATAGTTCCACTTACATTTGTACACTAGAGGGCACTATGTTGGGTCACTGTTCACTTAGGCCAGTCCTTCTCAAATAGTGGGGCGCGCCCCCCTGGGGGGGCTCGGAGCGATGCCGGGGGGGCGCGTGACCCCGGGGAACATGCTTTTTTTTGCCGCAGGGAGTAGTTTTTTTTTGCACCGAACAAGAGCACACAGCACAGAGCAGGAGATATGAAGTGCAGATAACAAACCCTTATGAGACACCATGGAAAAATATTCAACAGGGATGAAAAGAAAGGCGGAGAGAGACGGAGATACTGAGACAAACGTAAGTCTCCCGAAAGCTAAGACGAGGAAATATGACGAAGCGTATGTAGCGCTTGGCTTCACTGTGACTACGGTGGGAGACGAGGAAAGACCGGTATGTTTACTGTGTCTAAAAATGTTGGCAGCGGACAGCATGAAGCCAAATAAATTAAGGCGTCACTTAAAGACATTACACCCCAATCACGCTGATAAGCCGCTTGAGTTTTCAGCGAAAACGTGCCGAAAATTGCAAACAATCGTCCCGCTTTGTGAATGCTACTTCAGTAAACCAGCGAGCACTGTTAGCATCATATAAGGTGGCGTACCAAATTGCTCAGTGCAAAAAAAAACACTCCATAGCAGAGGAGCTGATACTGCCTGCAGCATTAGACATGGTCTCTGTCATGCTGGATGACGCAAGTGCTGCAAAAATAAAAACTATCCCTCTGTCCAATGACACTGTCGCCAGACGTATAAATTACATTGCTAACGATCTTAAAGAACAGCTGGTAGATAAACTCAAAGACAAACGTTTTGCCTTACAGTTCGATGAAGCAACTAACAGCAACAAAGACTGTTTGTTTATCGCTTATGTACGTTTTGACATGACAAACTCCCTGTGTGAGGATCTACTTTTTCGTAAATATGTCAGAGACAGAGCCACAGCTGAAGAGCTATTCAAAATGCTGGACTGCTTTCTGACTGAGAATGGGCTAAAGTGGGAGAACTGCATTGGTGTTTGCAGTGATGGTGCACAGACCATGGCAGGGATGAGAAAAGGACTTCGGGCACTCATCAAGAAGGCCTCACTTAATGCTGAGTGGACACACTGTGTTATACACAGAGAAGCACTGGCATCAAGGCACCTTTTCTCTGAATTAAGTGAGGTTATGACTGACATTGTAGGTGTAGTCAATTTTATAAAGACCAGACCACTAAAAACAAGAGTCTTCTCTGCGATCTGTGAGGAGATGAGAGCTGAACATCAAGCTGTGCTGTTTCACAGTGAAGCAAGGTGGCTGTCACGAGGAAAAGTCTTGTCCCGAGTTTTTGAGCTCAGAGAGCAGATAAGAATGTTTTCGGAGCAGGAGCACAATGTATGACCTCGCAGAAATTTTTTGTGATGAGAACTTCCTGGCAAAACTGGCCTACCTGAGTGACATATTTGGAAAGCTAAATGAACTAAATCCACAGCTTCAAGGGAAAGATAAACACCTCCCTCAGGTCACAGACAAGATCAGCTCTTTCACTCGAAAGCTTGCAATGTGGGGCAGGCGACTTGATGAAGGAAATACTGATTCATTCGAGAACCTGCATGAATTTGTTGACACTACTGACTATGATGCCACCTCAGTGATTCCATATATTAAGGAGCATATTTCATCACTGATGGGATTCTTTAAAAAGTACTTCCCTGAAAACAGTTCCCAATATGACTGGGTGAGAGATCCTTTCAATGCACCAGCTCCAACTGGTTTCAGCTCTGCAGAGGAGGACCAGTTCATTGATATGACGTCTGACTCCACATTGAGACTGAGGTTCACATCACAGACACTGAGTGAATTCTGGCTGAGTGTAGAGAGGCAGTATCCACTCTTAGGGCAGAGGGCCATGGGCATTCTTCTTCCTTTTGCAACATCTTATCTTTGTGAGACTGGCTTCTCTGCTGTTGCTGCACTGAAGACCAAGTACAGGTCCCAGCTAAACATTGAGCAGGAGCTGAGAATTGCAGTATCATGCTTCAAACCCCGCTTCGAAAAGCTGTGCACTGCAAAACGTGCTCATTGTAGCCATTAATCCTGACTTCCTCATTTTGTACAAATTGTTTTATTCATTTTTGTTTTATAGGTCAAAGTGTTTCATATATTGTGCTCCTGAGTTAATGTTGCTGATCAATTTGAATGTATTATTATTTATTGATTATATTTTATTTTATTTTTCAGTATCAAATGGTCAAAAAATGTTTACAGTTTAAATAAGGTTTGATTTTTTTTTTAAATTTCAGGCAAATTTATGCACTTTTAGTATTTTCTGTTACAGACTAAAAAACAATGTTAATAAAGGCTGGCTTTGTTGTAAGTATATCTATTTTTTTATTTTTTATTTTTTTATTTTCTTTAATGTTAATAAGGATACAATGTTATGCAGAGGTGTACTTATAACAATTTTATAGACAAATTATACTATTTACAGTTGCCGCGGAGAGTTGGGGGGCGCGAAATGTTTACACACATGTAGCCAAGATTTGGAATGATGGCTTGCGAGACTAGCACACAAGTGACCAGAAAGTTGTATTTATTTAGGTGACAATTAAGTGGGGATGCCCAGGTATGTAGTGCAAACAATTCTCACAGTTTACACCTTGGAACTATAACGTTATGCGCCTATGGTAAATAGTTAACTTGTATGGCTACATCTGCCAGTATGTAATGTTTTTATCTTTACTCCTATAAATGCCAAAAATCTACATTTGGATTAGCTTGCATATTGTAACGGGCTAATGTGATAGTGGTACGGTTTGGCGTAGCACAGAGGATTTTCGACCAACCTTAACTTGGCAATACCATCTTTGTTCTTGATTTGGCCAAACGTATAGTATCTTCAAAAAAGATTCCGTGTCCAGTTGCAGGCAGTTCGTTAGATTTGTTTGCATGCTCCGTTATTAAAATATTGTTTTACTATTAAATGTTACAGAAGCCATCTGTAACATTACATGTAAAAGTCAAAATTGTTAATATGAATGGTAATTTAAATGTCTATTTGCGGGACGAAGCTATCACTCTTTAAGGTTGGTCGAAAATGTTTGTGGTACGCCAAACAGTACCTATCCTGTAACGGATAATGGAGCATCACATTAGCCCGTTACAATCCGGTAGCTACACTTGGATTGGAAAGGATTTGTTTTGCAATCCCACTTGACTGTGCTCGAGTGAGTATCATGAACTTTGATTCGTAACAACAAAGCATTCCTTGTTGTTCGCTCACCGCTCTCCTTGGTCTTCTGTTGCCTCTGTCAGGAAAGCCTAAAATTGATATTGATTGTGTCAGAAAAACATATCCAACTTCATTATGCTAACCATGTTGTCTCCAATTTTCTTATGAAACAGTTAGTTACAGACATAATCGTTCCTCGTCGTAACAGTATATTGCATGTAAACTCACCTTTATTCTGACTAGAATTATTGGTAGACAAGGCCGTCGCGTATGTAGCCCTGTTTAACGGGTTAAGCACATTAATTCCATAAATGCGACCATTTATTTGTCCTAAGGACAACATTGATTTGTTCAATGTATGCGCAGCCATGTTTGAGCACGCAATGTCAACCTATGGCAAGTCGAGAGGGACCGTTGTTTAGCGAAACAGAACGTGCAGACAAGATTGGGTATCAGTGCCCCTTTTGATATAGATAATGAACTGCAATTTGCGAACAGGTGAAAGGATTTAGCCTACAAAGGTTTATTATGTATATCGTAAAATGTAGGCCTATTTTTGAATTTCAGAATTTCTTCATCTGTTAGACTACATTATAAGAGCTCAAATAATATTTAATGGTGTTTATGTAGTCTGAATACCAGTCTCTTTCGCTAACATTCCACTCTGTTCTTGCCACTCCTTACCAAAGAGACTGGCCTTTTGGCAATCTCAATGTTCAATATGTGCTGGATTTACAGAGAAGTTGCACATTGGTTGTTGGAAATAACATTAAAATTTTCCATGACAACATGTCAAGAGACTGGTACCCAGGCTAGTGTTTATGGGCTATTTAGGCCATTCAACTGATAAACTAGAGATATCCTAGATCTCATTATCTAAAAAAGTACCGCTACTGTTTCTGATTGTATCCTTATTCTTCCTTGGTTCATCCTTGGTAGACACTAGACAATACCATTTATTTGAGCCGCTGAGGTCACGTGCGTCAGGTGGATAATGTTGTGCGCAAGATTAAAGGGTCCGTCCTCCACTTATGTGTTTCAGCAGCATCCCTGCCGCTCCGCGCTTACCGCCACCAGCTGTTGCTTTTAGCAAGCACAACACTATCCAGTTCGTGACAGACGCACTTCAAAGAGATAAGCTGCGAAGGCTCATTTCTGAATTCTAATGTTCCCTTTTTCCATGGTGTCTGTCCACTGTAATTTACGCACAAACATGTCTTACGGTTGGGTACCACTTTGAAGGGAAGATAGGCTAACTGTATGTCCTCAGCTGAAAGGTAAGTTCACTTTATTTTTATTTTTATTATTATTATTATTATTTTTACATGAAATGAATTTAGGCTATCTGAAATTATTTTATTTTTTTACAATGAAAATATGTTAGAGTTATAGCCCTATAGGACATTTGAAATAACTAATAGCTGAAATGGAAACATCTTAATATTCTATGGCAAATATTTCTGTATTTTGTGTTGTCTGGCAGATACTTATTTTTTTAAAGCTCATCCAACACATCTGATCTGTTCGTTTGATGGCTCACAACATAGTTATAGGCCGGTTGTCAGTTTCTTATAAAGGTAAAGAGAAACATATTGACAGATTTGTTTGTGTTAAATATGCATAAAACCATGTGCTCTAATCATAATATTTACAGTGGCTCAAATAGCTTCTAACTCACTTCCAAGTCCATTTTCAACATCCTCCCAGTCTCCACACAAACATGTTTTGCATAAACCATGTTTGTCCCTAGACATTTGAATATTCAAACTAATAAGATGCCACTGTAAGGTTAAGAAGATGATATTCCTATGTGGAATGATTGATGATGGATTAACTGAAGGTGCCTAAGGACTCCTATGCCTGACAGAGTTATTGTGTGTTTGATGGTTGTCCAGCGTAGCAGAGAAACTCAATCTATGGGCTGGGTCAGCAGCAGTGTTTGTGAAAACAGACTGTCATCAGGGTTGCTATCTCCTGTTACGTTCCAGCCTCACACCACAAAGACTTGTTTCCGACGGCTTTAGTGACTATGATCCGTTCACTTTTCAGACCCAGGTCAGTTTCCTTAAGGACAAGGTATTGACCCCTACTAAATAGTGCCCATGACTTTTATGGTGGATAATGTTAGTCTATAGAGACATGATGGACTATGGCCTAAATTCAGTCAACACTATCAGGATGGTATTTCATCTGAGGAAAAGCTCTTGTGTCATCCTCTATAAATGTGTTGTAGACCTTGTGTGTGGTGACCTCTGGTCTGTACCATTGGCTAAGGAATGGATCATGCAGGGTGCCACACACACACACAAACACACACATACACACACACACACACACACACACACACACACACACACACACACACACACACACACACACACACACACACACACACACACACACATTATCTGTTACCAAACTCAGATGGTCTAATGCCTCTCAACCTTGGACTGCTTGACATCCATCATCATTACCAGTTTGAATAAATGTACCAGTATTGTGTCTGTTTGTTATGCTGTTGTAAACACATGTGAAAGGAGATAGCTATAATGATGATGCATTTCGATCCCGGGCTGTGTCGCAGCTGTCCGCGACCAGGAGACCCATGAGGCGACGCACAATTGGCCCAGTGTCGTCCGGGTTAGGGGAGGGTTTGGCCAGCTGGGATGTCCTTGTCCCATCGCACTCTAGCGACTCCTGTGGCGGGCCGGGCGCATGCACGCTGACATGGTCGCCAGTTGTACGGTGTTTCCTCCGGCACATTAGTGTGGCTGGCTTCCGGGGTAAGCGAGCAGTGAGTCAAGAAGTAGTGCGGCTTGGCAGGGTTGTGTTTCGGAGGACGCATGGCTCTCGACCTTCGCCTCTCCCGAGTCCGTACGGGAGTTGCAGCGATGGGACAAGACTGTAACTATCAATTGAATTTCAAGAAATTGGGGAGAAAAAGGGGTAAACAGTACAAAAAAATTATAATTATATATATATTTTTAATGATGCATAGAGATACCACACTTCTCCAAATCTATAGTCACAATGGTAATCCCCTTTCCGTCCTCATCACCATGCAACATTAATGGACCATAATCCTCTGTGTGAGCTCTCAGGCCTCAGGCCTGGGACGTGACTTCTACTTAAGTACAGGCACAAGTCATCAGATTCATATTTTAACTTTGGACAAGAACAGAACATTTAGAGATTCTGAGACCTGGAAGTGTTAATGTCTGATTTCCCATTGTAAACTAGTGAGATATAGCATCATCCACCAGAAAAGTCAAGTGCACTAATTACCTGAACAAAAAATAAACGCAACATGCAACAATTTCAAAGATTTTACTGAATTACAGTTCATATAAGGAAATCTGTCAATTGAAATAAATTCATTAGGCCCTAATCTATGGATTTCACATGACTGGGAATATAGATATGCATCTGTTGGTCACAGATACCTTAAGAAAAGGTAGGGGCGTGGATCAGAAAACCAGTCAGTATCAGGTGGGATCCCCATTTGCCTCATGCAGCACGACACATCACCTTCGCATAGAGTTGATCAGGCTGTTGATTGTGGCCTGTGGAATGTTGTCCCACTCCTCTTCAATGGCTGTGCAAAGTTGCTGGATATTGGCGGGAACTGGAACATGCTGTCGTACACGTCGATCCATAGCATCCCAAACATGCTAAATGGGTAACATGTTTGGTGAGTATGCAGGTCATGGAAGAACTGGGACATTTTCAGCTTCCAGGAATTGTGTACAGATCCTTGCGACATGGGGCTGTGTTGTCCGTAGCTTATGCATGCCCATACCATAACCCTACCACCACCATGGGGCACTCTGTTCACAACGTTGACATCAGCAAACCGCTCGCCCACACGACGCCATACAAGCTGTCTGACATCTGCCCGGTACAGTTAATCCGTGTAGAGCACACTTCTCCAGCGTGCCAGTGGCCATTGAAGGTGAGCATTTGCCCACTGAAGTCGATTACGACGGCGAACTGCATTCAGGTCAAGACCCTGGTGAGGACGACGATGAGCTTCCCTGAGACAGTTTCTGACAGTTTGGTCAGAAATTATTTGGTTGTGCAAACCCACAGTTTCATCAGCTGTCCGGGTGGCTGGTCTCAGATGATCACGCAGGTGAAGAAGCCGGATATGGAGGTCCTGGGCTGGCATGGTTACATGTGGTCTGTGGTTGTGAGGCCTTTTGGCGTACTGACAAATTCTCTAAAATGACGATGGAGGTGGCTTATGGTAGAGAAATGAACATTCAATGCTCTGGCCACAGCTCTGGTGGACATTCCTGCAGTCAGCATGCCAATTGCACGCTCCCTCAAAACTTGAGACATCTGTGGCATTGTGTTGTGTGACAAAACTGCACATTCTTTAATTGTCCACAGCACAAGGTGCACCTGTGTAATGATCATGTTGTTTAATCAGCTTCTTGATATGGCACACCTGTCAGTTGGCTAGATTATCTTGGCAAAGGAGAAATGCTCACAAACAGGGATGTAAACAAATTCGTGCACAAAATTTGAGAGAAATAAGCTTTTTGTGCGTATGGAACATTTCTGGGATCTTTTATTGCAGCTCATGAAACATGGGACCAAGACTTTACATGTTGCGTTTATATTTTGTTCAGTATAGTAGGGGCAATACTTTTTCCTTAAGGAAACTGACCTGGGTCTGAAAAGTGGTGAACGGATCATGGCCACTAAAACTGTCGGAAACAAGTATTTGTGGTGGGAGGCTGAAAGGCAACACTTGTTACCTTACTGTGGTCAATAACTCTGGTCCTGGAGAGCTACACGTTGTGGCTGTCAGCTTTTGTTTCAGTGCAGCACTAACACCCTATTTCATCTAATCACGGTCTTAATGATTATTTAATGAGTTGCTGTTTAGGGTTTAAGTGCCGGTCAGAACCAAAGACTGCAAAGAGCCAACCATCTCAGAGCCAGGGTTGGTAACTGGTACTGTATTACAGGGTTCAACTGTAACTGTTAACACCCTGCCCATTAAATCTAACCTATCTGATCTCATCTTCTCCTCTGCAGTTCTGTAGCCTAACAAAGAGTACTTTAGCCTCTGGGGTGGACGTGCCTCGTCGTTAGCTGTTTATCTTCTCCCACCTGGACCGCAGGTCTGACCTTTAACCCAGCCTCCTGCTCCTCTGAACCGGACCGTTCTCTTTGGCAGTATGAGCAAGAAGCGAGGATGTCCCTTCCAGCTGCTGAACCGTGCGCACAGAGACTATGGTGGTAGTGGTGGTGGAGGATCCAAGACCTTCGGGCCAAACAGCCATGCCACCACCAGCCTTACCAACCCGGGACCGAGCCCCATGGATAGGAGCCAAGGCCTGGGCACCATGGACAGTGACAGGTGCCTGGCCCTGGATGAGGCCGCTGCTGCTGCTGCTGCTGCTGACAGTACACGCTACTTTCCTGTTTCACTCGAACTTGAGCCCACAGCGGTTAATAATGGATCAGACATTCCCTGCAGCCCGCAGACGGACACAAAGGACCCACCGCTGCAGATCGACGGCCAGCCCCCTGCCTACTGCCCTAACCCTCCTCTCCCTCCAGCCAGAAGGCTGCGGTCCACCATACACTCCCAGAGCCCCTACATCACCAAGACTAGCATGCAGGGGGATGTCTACAACTTCCTAGAGAGACCTGCTGGATTGAGATGCTTCCTCTACCACTTCTTGGTGTGAGTACCTACAGTTCCTTTTCATCCTTTGCTGGTCACTTTAACATACCGGTAGGCAGCTAAAGGGCTACCCACTCGGCACACACTGGTTGAATCAACATTGTTTCCACGTAATTTCAATGAAATTCTGTTGAACCAACGTGGAATAGACGTTGAATTGACGTCTGTGCCCAGTGGGTAGACGGCTTCCCTAGATAAGTGGTTTTCAACCGGTGTGCCGTGAGGAACGCTCAAGCGGTGTGCCTTGAGGAACTATTAGGTGTGCCGCGACCCTTTTCCTAATCTTGATCATTTTTTTTGAAATCTCACGAATGTGACCTGTGGAATGCACATGTAATTTTGACTTGGGAACACCAGTGCCGCTCAGATAATACATTGAATGGCGCATGGTTACATCTGTATCATTGTTTCAAGTCCGTTGTGCTCAGGCTGTTACATTTGAATCATTTGAGGGGGGCGCATCAAGAGCAAAGTCATTTGTATAATTTTAATTTGCCTGTGAGAACCATTAGCATAGGCAAGTAATAATAATAATAATAATATGCCATTTAGCAGACGCTTTTATCCAAAGCGACTTACAGTCATGCGTGCATACATTTTTTTTTTTTTTGTGTATGGGTGGTCCCGGGGATCGAACCCACTACCTTGGCGTTACAAGCGCCGTGCTCTACCAGCTGAGCTACAGAGGACCACGTCTGACTAGGCTTAGCTATACCACAGCCTCTGCCATAGAAACAAACAGAGCATGGTTTTGTGTCTGTGGTTGCACTTTTACAATGCAGAAAACCTCTCGTCTCTAGCTCAAACTGTTCAAAACTAAATACCTATTTTACCAGAGCTACATTTACTCTTAAAGGGGTACACACAAATTATTCACCATGAGTAAGGAACTATGCAAACTATGAAAATAGTTCAAATAAACACTATTTAATCTAATTACAAAAGTTTGTCAGAGAAAATAGATGATATGGTTGAGATGAGATGGATCATTACAACTAAATAAATTAATAAGGACATTTTAAGTGTGCCGCAACATTTTTTATCCCATGAAGGTGTGCCATGGTTAAAAAAAGGTTGGGAACCACTGCCCTAAATTAAACTCATTCCTAAATATAACATGAAGTATATCTTTATGAATAACATTAACATTCTCATTTTCTATTTGAACCCCAAAATTAAAATGATCAGTGTGCATGTTTTACCAAATGAAATTTGGCAAATTGAAGCTAAGTTAAATCCAGAGGATATTTTATCATTTGAATAACTTTGCAGAGCTGAATTAGTGAAATTACATACTTTTTGTTACGTTGTATAATGATTTGAAGACAGGCGCAGGAATACGTATTAGGGGTTTTATTTACTCCACCCAACTCAAACACATATATATATATATATACAAAAGGGATGTAACCCAAACAATGGGAACCAGGTGTGCGTAATGAGACAAGACAGTCCGGGCTTGGTGGTAATGATCCATGTCGGTGACGCCTAGAAAGCTGGTGACGTAGACCTCCGGAACTGGTGAATGGAATGAGCAGCAGTACCGGTGGGATCCGTGACACTTTTTTACATCTAGACATTCATGTAAACATTCAAGTGCCTCTAGTTTGTTCATATATTTGAGATTATATATTTATAAACCAGAAGTTTAATGTTTGGATTATAGTACAGCATCAGTAAAATACATTGAAAAATCTAAGACAACTCAAAATTGAATATGTTCTGGTTCCAAACTTCCCAGTAACTAAAGGAGAGGGTGTCTAGACTGTCACTGTGGCCCTCTTTGTGTATCTCTCTTATCTGTGTGTGTCTTTCTGAGACCACAGAGCAGGCAGGAGGTCAACACATTCCTGTCAACCACACCTCTGCTCCTTGTCCCACTGCTTCTCTTCCCCTACCTACCATCAACAAATCAGCCCTGCTGATGCATGAAACATAGTGCTTAACTCTACCTGGTCAGGGAAACACTGCAATGGCTGCTGTTTAAAACAGACCAATAAAACAGCATTTTACTAACTCTAGGTCTGAAGTTAGGATTCATCTCTACACCGTCTGGACATATGTACTTCTGGATTCTTAGTGGAGATCAAGAGGCACCCAAATCAAACATTGATTTGGTGATAATTGACTGTTTCTTTGATGCAGTATTGACCCATTAACTACTGTGTATACAGTGCCTTGCAAAATATTCATCCCCCTTGGCGTTTTTCCTATTTTGCTGCATTACAACCTGTAATTTAAATGGATTTTTATTTGGATTTCATGTAATGGAATTTTTTTCTCCAGAAAATCACATTGTAGGATTTTAAAATGAATTTATTTGCAAATTATGGTGGAAAATAAGTATTTGGTCACCTACAAACAAGCAAGATTTCTGGCTCTCACAGACCTGTAACTTCTTCTTTAAGAGGCTCCTCTGTCCTCCACTCGTTAACTGTATTAATGGCACCTGTTTGAACTTGTTATCAGTATAAAAGACACCTGTCCACAACCTCAAACAGTCACACTCCAAACTCCACTATAGCCAAGACCAAAGAGCTGTGTGTGGTCCTCTGTAGCTCAGCTGGTAGAGCACGGCGCTTGTAACGCCAAGGTAGTGGGGTTCGATCCCCGGGACCACCCATACACAAAAATGTATGCACGCATGACTGTAAGTCGCTTTGGATAAAAGCGTCTGCTAAATGGCATATTATTATTATTATTATTACTGTCAAAGGACACCAGAAACAAAATTGTAGACCTGTACCAGGCTGGGAAGACTGAATCTGCAATAGGTAAGCAGCTTGGTTTGAAGAAATCAACTGTGGGAGCAATTATTAGGAAATGGAAGACATACAAGACCACTGATAATCTCCCTCGATCTGGGGCTCCACGCAAGATCTCACCCCGTGGGGTCAAAATGATCACAAGAACGGTGAGCAAAAATCCCAGAACCACACGGGGGGACCTAGTGAATGACCTGCAGAGAGCTGGGACCAAAGTAACAAAGCCTACCATCAGTAACACACTACGCCACCAGGGACTCAAATCCTGCAGTGCCAGACGTGCCCCCCTGCTTAAGCCAGTACATGTCCAGGCCCGTCTGAAGTTTGCTAGAGTGCATTTGGATGATCCAGAAGAGGATTGGGAGAATGTCAAATGGTCAGATGAAACCAAAATATAACTTTTTGGTAAAAACTCAACTCGTCGTGTTTGGAGGACAAAGAATGCTGAGTTGCATCCAAAGAACACCATACCTACTGTGAAGCATGGGGGTGGAAACATCATGCTTTGGGGCTGTTTTTCTGCAAAGGGACCAGGACGACTGATCCGTGTAAAGGAAAGAATGAATGGGGCCATGTATCGTGAGATTTTGAGTGAAAACCTCCTTCCATCAGCAAGGGCATTGAAGATGAAACGTGGCTGGGTCTTTCAGCATGACAATGATCCCAAACACACCGCCCAGGCAACGAAGGAGTGGCTTCGTAAGAAGCATTTCAAGGTCCTGGAGGGCCTAGCCAGTCTCCAGATCTCAACCCCATAGAAAATCTTTGGAGGGAGTTGAAAGTCTGTGTTGCCCAGCGACAGCCCCAAAACATCACTGCTCTAGAGGATATCTGCATGGAGGAATGGGCCAAAATACCAGCAACAGTGTGTGAAAACCTTGTGAAGACTTACAGAAAACGTTTGACCTGTGTCATTGCCAACAAAGGGTATATAACAAAGTATTGAGAAACTTTTGTTATTGACCAAATACTTATTTTCCACCATAATTTGCAAATAAATTCATTAAAAATCCTACGATGTGATTTTCTGGAATTGTACCTCTGGAATCATAGTTGACATGTACCTATGATGAAAATTACAGGCCTCTCTCATCTTTTTAAGTGGGAGAACTTGCACAATTGGTGGCTGACTAAATACTTTTTTTCCCCACTGTATGTATTCACCCCCTTTGCTATGAAGCCCCTAAATAAGATCTGGTGCAACCAATTGCCTTCAGAAGTCACATAATTAGTTAAATAAAGTCCACCTGTGTGCAATCTAAGTGTCACATGATCTCAGTCTATATACACCTGTTCTGAAAGGCCCCAGAGTCTGCAACACCACTAAGCAAGGGGCACCACCAAGCAAGCGGCACCATGAAGACCAAGGAGCTCTCCAAACAGGTCAGGGACAAAGTTTTGGAGAAGTACAGATCAGGGTTGGGTTATAAAAAAATATCAGAAACTTTGAACATCCCGCAGAGCACCATTAAATCCATTATAGAAAAACGGAAAGAATATGGCACCACAACAAACCTGCCAAGAGAGGGCCGCCCACCAAAACTCACGAACCAGGCAAGGAGGGCATTAATCAGAGAGGCAACAAAGAGACCAAAGATAACCCTGAAGGAGCTGCAAAGCTCCACAGCGGAGATTGGAGTATCTGTCCATAGGACCACTTTAAGCCGTACACTCTACAGAGCTGGGCTTTATGGAAGAGTGGCCAGAAAAAAGCCATTGCTTGAAGAAAAAAATAAGCAAACACGTTTGGTGTTTGCCAAAAAGGCATGTGGGAGACTCCCCAAACATATGGAAGAAGGTACTCTGGTCAGATGAGACTAAAATTGACCTTTTTGGCCATCAAGGAAAACGCTATGTCTGGTACAAACCCAACACCTCTCATCACCCCGAGAACACCATCCCCACAGTGAAGCATGGTGGTTGCAGCATCATGCTGTGGGGATGTTTTTCATCGGCAGGGACTGGGAAACTGGTCAGAAATGAAGGAATGATGGATGGCGCTAAATACAGGGAAATTCTTGAGGGAAACCTGTTTCAGTCTTCCAGAGATTTGAGACTGGGACAGAGGTTCACCTTCCAGCAGGACAATGACCCTAAGCATACTGCTAAAGCAACACTTGAGTGGTTTGAGGGGAAATGTCTTGGAATGGCCTAGTCAAAGCCCAGACCTCAATCCAATTTAGAATCTGTGGTATGACTTAAAGATTGCTGTACACCAGCAGAACCCATCCAACTTGAA